ACAAAAAAAAAAAAAACAAATGAATCAATTAGTTAAACGGATTATCACTCAGGGTCTGCAACTGTTTTGAGCATGAAGGAATGAACAAATCAGCATTAAACTTAGTATCCATCCCGTGAACAAAGTTTACATGAATGAGTTGAAGGGGCCCTAGTGTTACTTAGTAAACATTGAAACCTCAAACAACCTATAACATGAAAAACAAGAAGGTTTCATTCATTCAATCTCCAGTCCTTGAACAAGCTAATGTTGCATATGAAACATGTTTTTTTCCTAACATACAAATAACTTCCTTTTCATTTTATCCTCTTTTATATTACCACAAATAGAACTTAAAAACACCCATTTCAACTAAACTCACTCAAATTCTATGATATCATGCTCTTCCATATACCTTTCAAGGAAAATCACAAGCCTAGATACTTCTTGTTCATAGGGCATGATCGTTATATTTGTATAATCATGAAGACAATACTCAGAAAGAATCAAATCATATGATTCCCAGCTGCAGAATACAAGCAAAAGAGCACGGCAATGGACTATTATTAGGTAGGAAGTCCATCAACGTCTTAAGTTCAATACAAGTGTTCTATGCAGACAACTAAAATCTTTAACCAATTTCCATGCCCCAAATATCCTGATGTCATTTCTGAACATTGATCATCGCAACAGACATTATATCAATATGTCGTTTTAGTCAAGCAAGTGTGTGTGCCGACATTGGTGTATGTGCTTTACATTTTTATATTATAGAAAGGGGGTGACAACGAACCTTGTAATCATACAGATCACTGCCTGCATAACCACTGCTTTCACTTAATTTCCCACTGAGAACACGTTCAGGATCATCATCTGTGTCTGGATCAGCTTCATTTTCTGCATCATGGTAACCATTGTCTTTCATATCTGGATTTTCATCATCAGTCGAATCTTCACTAACACTATTTTCAACCCGAGAGTCAGCTGAAATAGAACATCTTTGTAGATTTTCATCCTGAAAAAACAAAAGCAATCACCACAAATAGCACTATACTAAAGAAGACCACAAGCATGGGGCTCTGATAATGCAAAGGTTAACAATATTTTAAAACTAGAATTATGAGACAGAAAAGGTCAACAATCATTAGAAATATTACAAGGAACAAGTTTTCATAATTAGTGACAGCATGAACAATTCAAGTTTGCAATTGCTCAACAGTAAGGCATAAAATAACATTGTCATCACACCCATAGCTGATTGCAGAATTCATTCAAGTCAGTAGAGCTCTAAATGAGTTTATGCTTAATTATTACTTATAGATAAATGGTTATAAATGGTAGGGCATAATTTCAAGGATCTAAGTTTATGTAACTTACTTTTCATGATATATCATTTCAATACAAACTTGGGTATGAATATTCTAAAAGAAGTTTAAAAAAGGAAAAAAGAAAAAAGTAAAAAACCCCCAGACTCAGGGTTTATCATGACGCATAAAAAATCATAGAGAAAGCATTTGCATCGAAATGCCATATCAAACAACAATGAACTTGGGAGCATCTTACATCAAAAATATTCTCATACTCCTCCAGAAGAGTTGTAATGATGGCTTGAGCATTATTAGCAGCATTCGCAGCAGCAAGAAGCTGGGCAGAATTATCACCATTAACATCAAAGTCATCCTCCAACTCACATTCACCAGCTAATAGGGGGCGTAAAAGCAAGGGTGCCATGCAAGCAGCTACAGCAGATGGGGTCATTCGATTCTCATGAGCATGGGACGAAATTGTATGCATCATCTTCAGAATCCTGCAAAAGGTGATGCATATTAAGTTATACAAATCAATAACTATTTACAAGAATTTCAAGGATGTTCACCTATGAAATAGACAGATTTGAAGTATGTTTAAGAGACAACACTTACAGAAGCAAATTGTTATGAAAAGCCATTTTGTCAATTCAAAGCTACACACATATAGAAGTGTTTGTGGATCAAGTAGCTTTCTCTCTACTTTCTGTAGTCTAAACACTAGATATTGGTAGGAACCCTTCCCACAAATGTCATCCTCACATAGGGCACAACCAAGTGAGATAACTAAATGGCAGATCCCATACCTTCTTAGCAATGAATCACAGTTCAGCATCTACTTTTGTGTCAAAGCATAGGGCTAAGTAGATCAAACAGGCAGCAAAATCATATTTTCAGCATAAATGTATCATGTCAACAAGATATCTGCTACTAATGCAGTAATTTAGTTATTAAATAAAAATATAATAGAAACAAGTACTTATTGAATGAAATGCATAGGTTTAAAAACATTAAGAACTCAATCATAAAAGTCACAGCAACACCACAAGTGACAATAGATGCAAATAGGGGAAAAAAGTTCAAACATATCATGTTAGAAAGTGATGGGGACATTACCTTTGTAACAGACGCCGGTTTGGTTCAGGAAATGTCTCTAATATCGCAGAGCGCATTGCACTGATTCGCGCTTCCTTCCGATCAATTTCTTATATGCAACAAAAACATAAAACAACAGTATTAACTTTTACAGACACATGGACCAATCATTTCACTAAAATGAAAAATAATTTTTGAAATAAAAAGGAAAGAAAGAAAACTTGTAAAACAATTAAAAAGAAACAAAAAGAGTTAAAAGAACAGTTGGGACAGAACTCATGGTTCTGACACCAAAATCTTAACATAATCAAGATGATAAATTATACATTGTACCCATTGCACTTGTCCCCCCCACCCAAAAAAAAAAA